CCCAAACCCAAACCCAAACCCTTACAGATTATAACTTTGAAGGTTTCCTGTTCAACTTTAAAGACATATATAATGTACATCTTGATATTGTGAATCCTTGTTTGCTATAAATGAAAATGAAAATCAAAACTTTATACCAATTGAACCATCTTTTTTTGAAATTGTTAACTGAACCATTTTTTTAAAGAAATATTTCTCCTTAAATCTTTTTCGTTTGCCATCTCTAGAATGACCCGAAAACAGAAATAGGAGGTGGACGTGGAACTCTATTTGAAGGTAGATAAGGAGGTGGAACTTTATCATACATTGAATTACAGTGTAAGAATTGAAAATATTTTTAAATTTCTAACAGAAAATTCAGCATAATTATAAAAACATTATTTTTTTAACTTCCTCAATATTTCTACTTCATAAGTGAAAAGTATCTGAACTAATTTTCATGATTGATGGATTATAAATATTAAATAATTTTATTTCAAATCTTAATATCTTATCAGTTAATTAATGGAAGTTTTACTAATTATATTACAACAATGTGACACAAATATCATTTAATTTTTATTGTGAGTCTTCAGTTAATAATGATAATCCAATTCAATTTATAGTTAGAAAATTAAATGAAGGCGCCTTTTTTTTTAAGGTCTGTCTCATATAATTTAAATAGAACCTATTAAGAATTAAAACCTCACACATATATTCCATCTAAAAGCAAATTTTGATCAATAAACATACTTTATTGGTTCAATATTTTTCATTTAAAATAAATTTTTTTTTAATGATACTTATTTCAAATATTTTTTAAGACATTAAGATCTATTAAAAGTCTATTTTTATGCAAACTAATGGTTTTTACTCGTCTAAATTTAGATTTATGTAATTAGATAAGATTTGCCTCATCATTTTTCATTTGCTTAAACTTATACTAAATTCAGCTTTTAGTGCTATATAATTTAAAATTTTGTCTTAATATCCTCCCTCACATTCAAAAATGTGATGAAGATTATTTTATAAAATTCAAAAGCACTACATAGATTAAATAGTTGTAAATAAGTAAAGAATAATTAGGAACTCTAGATGCTATTAATAATCTGGTTCATAAGAGCATCAAATACTTTTTTTCTCCATTATGTAAATCTATATATCAATTTAATTTTGTCTAAAAAAAAGTTATTAAAGTGAAATTGGAGATTTAAAATACATTGTTCAAAGTATTAGGGATGAATTTATTAGAAAATTGGTTAAAGAAGAATTCAATTCGCTTCTAAAATCATTGAAAAAAGTACAATTTCGCCTTTTACTTGAACTTGGAACTGAAGGTCAAATTTTCAATACAGAGAATAAGATAAGATACTGAAAAGCGAAAGTAAAATATTTGACAAAAAAACCTTTTACAAATTAAATATGAATTTCATTATCTTTCAACAATTTGGTTCCCTAGGAATTATATATATTATATATCTATGGTGAACATATCGCTATTAATGTAGTATTCTTTATATCCACCCTATTCAACAATAATCTTTTATCTTCCTTTCATTCTAAATTCTACCTTGTATTAATATCTGAAAGATCCACAGGATATTATTCTATTTTATTCTTAATTCAAACCTAATCCAAATAAAAAAAAATAATCAGTAAGTACCTATTAACAAGACCATTCATTCTTCTTCATCATAACATAAATACTTTTATCAAAGCTTCCTGAAAGAATTGTATCTATATTTTTGCTAGTAATTCCATTAAAATATCAATTTAATATCGATTATTTTTCTCCTGTCTAATATGGATTAATAGCTGAAGTAATGGGTTATCACCTTATAAAAGTGAAAATTATTGAACTGTTTGATAATGGAATCATTTAAGACAAGCAGGTTGTTTTATTTCTTTATTGATGTGTCGTATTACTAATTATTAAAATAATTAACTTTGAGTCAATCTTTAAGAATCTAATTCTAAATTTTCCAATAATCTTTACATAAATTATATTCTTCAATTTCATTCGATAATTCTATGCAGTATTAGAAGTCCCACAAAAATTAGTTTTCAAAATATCAAGGATCTAACTTCGAATTTGTTCTCCGATCTCATCATTTTCTTCAATCAAAGAATAATTTTCCTTAATCCATCTATGACTGCATTCTCTAAACATTATAAACATAAAAGTCTCTTAATAATTGAGGATCAAGTACAATTGTAACTACTGGTCGATTATTATGATTAGAGAAGCAAATAAATCTTTCATTTTCTGTCTTTATTGGTTGAAAAATTAATTATTAATGTAATTTATTAAAAATTAACTAATGTTAGAAGAGCAAAAGTTCTTCAGATATTTGATCTGATTTCTTTCGAGTAAAAAATTAACCTTCCTTTCATTCTTTGTACTAACCATAATAGGGTTTCTTCCATATCTCAAAATATGAATTATTTTCGAAGTTCTTTTAAGGATTAAGTAAATGCATAATCATTTTATAGGTTTCGCAAGTTGAAATACATTCTTTTTCGTATTAGAATCATTATCTATAACATTTACTCTTTGATTAAAGCGTTATTCATTGATTCGAGTTTTAAAGTTAAAATTAGAGGAAGCTTAAATATTTTTTTTGGAGATTTCGGTAACATTATAAGATTTAATTAAAATATAAAGTTATAACTGATATAATATTTAAAAGATATGTAAATCATTTACTGGTCATTAAATTTATTGAATGAACCTAAGATAATATAAAATCTAAAAGGAAACTCAGATTAATTTCCTTTTTGCTCTTAATAGAAAAGTATATCTTACAATTTTCTAGTTGCTTCAAAATAATTATTTTTGGACTTAATCATAGAATGAATCATGTATTTTAATAATAATAAGAAGTTTGTGAATACTAATATCAATCAGAAATTTTTGGGTTTGTCCCTAAATTAAAATAACGATTAAGCAGCATTACTCANATGAATTTCATTATCTTTCAACAATTTGGTTCCCTAGGAATTATATATATTATATATCTATGGTGAACATATCGCTATTAATGTAGTATTCTTTATATCCACCCTATTCAACAATAATCTTTTATCTTCCTTTCATTCTAAATTCTACCTTGTATTAATATCTGAAAGATCCACAGGATATTATTCTATTTTATTCTTAATTCAAACCTAATCCAAATAAAAAAAAATAATCAGTAAGTACCTATTAACAAGACCATTCATTCTTCTTCATCATAACATAAATACTTTTATCAAAGCTTCCTGAAAGAATTGTATCTATATTTTTGCTAGTAATTCCATTAAAATATCAATTTAATATCGATTATTTTTCTCCTGTCTAATATGGATTAATAGCTGAAGTAATGGGTTATCACCTTATAAAAGTGAAAATTATTGAACTGTTTGATAATGGAATCATTTAAGACAAGCAGGTTGTTTTATTTCTTTATTGATGTGTCGTATTACTAATTATTAAAATAATTAACTTTGAGTCAATCTTTAAGAATCTAATTCTAAATTTTCCAATAATCTTTACATAAATTATATTCTTCAATTTCATTCGATAATTCTATGCAGTATTAGAAGTCCCACAAAAATTAGTTTTCAAAATATCAAGGATCTAACTTCGAATTTGTTCTCCGATCTCATCATTTTCTTCAATCAAAGAATAATTTTCCTTAATCCATCTATGACTGCATTCTCTAAACATTATAAACATAAAAGTCTCTTAATAATTGAGGATCAAGTACAATTGTAACTACTGGTCGATTATTATGATTAGAGAAGCAAATAAATCTTTCATTTTCTGTCTTTATTGGTTGAAAAATTAATTATTAATGTAATTTATTAAAAATTAACTAATGTTAGAAGAGCAAAAGTTCTTCAGATATTTGATCTGATTTCTTTCGAGTAAAAAATTAACCTTCCTTTCATTCTTTGTACTAACCATAATAGGGTTTCTTCCATATCTCAAAATATGAATTATTTTCGAAGTTCTTTTAAGGATTAAGTAAATGCATAATCATTTTATAGGTTTCGCAAGTTGAAATACATTCTTTTTCGTATTAGAATCATTATCTATAACATTTACTCTTTGATTAAAGCGTTATTCATTGATTCGAGTTTTAAAGTTAAAATTAGAGGAAGCTTAAATATTTTTTTTGGAGATTTCGGTAACATTATAAGATTTAATTAAAATATAAAGTTATAACTGATATAATATTTAAAAGATATGTAAATCATTTACTGGTCATTAAATTTATTGAATGAACCTAAGATAATATAAAATCTAAAAGGAAACTCAGATTAATTTCCTTTTTGCTCTTAATAGAAAAGTATATCTTACAATTTTCTAGTTGCTTCAAAATAATTATTTTTGGACTTAATCATAGAATGAATCATGTATTTTAATAATAATAAGAAGTTTGTGAATACTAATATCAATCAGAAATTTTTGGGTTTGTCCCTAAATTAAAATAACGATTAAGCAGCATTACTCAAATAAATTTAAATAAGTGATTGAATCATTAAAATAAATTTATTGAATTTCCAAGCACGAAAATGGCTTTTTGTCAAACACGGCGTTATAATAAATTAATTTAAAAATCTATTTGATATTGAAAAAAACAAGGGTGGCAAATTTAATCTGATATCAAAGAACTTGAGTTTTAATTCTGTCATCGAATAATGAAATTACATAATTGCTAATCCATCGGTTTAATAAATTAATTTATCCCTAAATTACTTACTTTGGTTATGCAAAGCTTAAAAATATCTTTATTTTAGCACACATGATAGAATAATTAAATCAAATAATATAATTTTGATACTGGCTTTCGAATTTGGAAATATATTTTCTGTTATCAAGATATGGGTTCGAGCAATTCGTAAATGCAATCAAGATGTCGAAGTAGATTATTTATGTGATTACGATAATTAATTTAATGGTTGCATTAGGAATAGATTAAAATAATAGCAATATTTAGTATGATAGTTTCAATAATTATCAATTAAATAGTTATAAATTTGAAATTGAAATTTTGTCGAAAGAAATGCTTGCGAATGGTATTTTATTTAATAAATGAAAGAATTTTCCAAAAGTATGGACATTAAATAGTTATTTCATCTAAGAAATTGATGAAAAAACAATATTAACGAGTATGAATTCATTTATTAAGTGAAAAACGGAAAATTCAATACATGAAATAAAACTGCGGACAAATTATAGATACGCTATTCTTATTATTTTATTCAAACTTTAGGAAATAATTGATTTTCAAGCTTAATCATAAATTTAGGATCATGATTATTCATGTAAACTTATTGATAGATATATTACAAGAAATAATCTTCCGAAATTTAACTTCTAATATTTATTTAATAGATTAACATGAATATTGGAGATGTTATCATGATTTTTGCCTTAATATTTCTTTTACCACTTCATCAAACTTCTAAACATTTATCAGCCAATATATTCAGTTCAAAGAACATATTTTTACTTCGTTAATATCTTTTATTTTATATTCAGTTTATATTATAATATTCAGAGAATTAGGATTTCGATTGAATTGTAATGAAAAAAAATATTTTTTTGATCTAAACATCTATGTTTCAAACTATTATGTATGATGAAAATATATTTAATACTGCCTAAATCCATAATTTTATTCAAATCAATACAACAGGAGATATTATAAATTTCTCTTGATAGCGTAATCCGAAAAGATAATAGAAAAAGGTATGGGGAGAAGCTAAGATTGAGAAAAAAATAGATTATTAGATAAATCTTTTAAGAATAACCTAATTATAGTAATTTATCCTTAACTACAGACTTTCAAGTTTAAAATTATCAACAAATCCCATTTAATGTTCATCTATTTTATAAATTATTGATTTTTTAGTTCCCCTCTATGGAAAATTTCAAAGAGGGCTTTGATGGAGGAATTAAACTATTGAGTAATATATCTGAAAGGTGAATTAGTTTGATATGAACATTTGCTTCATTAATTTATAACAGAACTCAATAACAATATTTAGTGGTGTGTTAGTCTAAGATCTTTGAAGTATCAAATTTCCAATCTTTCTTCTTTATTTTAAAAATTTCTAGTAACAGACTTTTCTAAAAGCAAATATCTAAAGGAAATTTATGGGTTTGGTTCCTGAAAGATTTTCCTATTGAAAGCTATTAAAGAGAGTGGTTGTTAAAAAATGAGAAATTAATGAGAAAAATATAAAATTACTAGTTTTTGGCTCTTAAAATTTGTAGAAATAAATGGAAGAACTTTAGGAGGGTGAAGAGACTTTGTAAGCCAATAGTTTTGATTTTCTCACTCATAAATGCCATCAGTGTAAAACGATCTCATAATGATTATGCGCTATAGATATCGATTAAACGTCAATAATAATTTTTGAAACCTAATCCAAATTCATAATATGAAATTTTTAGTTATACATTTTCTAAACTGGTAAACTTTTTATATTCTGAATTATACTAAAGTTAAGTCTTAAGTTTCTTCATTTCTGAAGTGTTCCTTTGATTGATGTATTTCCTCGTTATTACCATCAAAGTTCTTTTACTAGTAAACTTTACTTTTGTCTATTCTTAAAGTTTTTAAATTCTCCTCAACTAAAATCCTTGATTTTAAATTATACATTTAGTGATTAGTGATTGATTGATTAATTTTTTCCCCCTTCTAATCTTTTGTTCTTATGCAACTGATATCATCATCTCACAAAATAATGTTGTTCCTGCTCTGTTCATCACTCGAATAATTAACAAAATATTAAATTAGTTCAACCGGAATTTCTTATTGATGGAGTTTTTCGAAATCCACTAAAGCAGAAATGAAACACTAATGCATGTCTTTAAGGATCTCATAGGTGCTGTTATATATATAGTTAGGTATGCTTCTGATTATGAAAGAAGGGGTAGAATAACCTAAATCACTTTTAAGTTTGATTCGGCTGCAGCAAAGTCATTAATTTTGATGATGATAGATATTGTCATAATTTAAAGTACAAATTAAGATATGGTTTGCAATAGAAGTATTTACACACAGACCTCATTTATTTCATAAAATATTTATAAAAGATGATGAATTTCAGGTAGAGAAATATTTTCTAGCTCTTCATCAAGAATTATCTAGGTAATAATATAATGAATTTCTTTTGACTTATCATTAATGTTCTAAATATCAATAGGTTTTCGATTCTTTGAATAGTTTATTCTATTACAAACAAATTGATTTAGTTTTATTTTATTTACTTTTTTGATGATATTTATATATTCCCCATTTACTGAATAATAGGCTCTAATCTTAAACAATCAAGACAACATTTAACTTGAATTTTCCAATTAACAAAAAATGAATAAAAATTGAATTGATATTGGATAGTTTTAATGGTTTTTAATATTATCAAATTTGTTTCAATATTAGTTCATTCTCTAAAATTAAACTACCTTTTGATTTAAATAATTATTTTAAATCATATCCTTTATAATCAACAAATTCACCTTTCAATATTAAAGTTTTTTATGCTTCCAAAATTGGATTTTGGCATATTCTTAGTATTGTACGATCAATCTCTGCTAAAGAATGATAATAATAAATACCATTTTATAAAATGGATTGACCTTAAAGTGGCAATTTAAACTAGGAAAGACGTTCTTTGTAAAAATTATCTTAAAGTAACATCTCTTTCGCTGTCTTTACATCCCATAAACGGATAGAGTTATCTGAACTACCAGATGCTAATGTAGTACCATCAGGAGAGTAACAAATTGAAAAAACTGTTCCAGAATGACCATCTAATTTGGCTTTTTATTATCCTGTCTTAACATCCCATACGCGGATAGAGTTATCTCTACTACCAGATGCCAATGTAGTACCATCAGGAGAATAGCAAATTGAATAAACTTTTGATAAATGACCATCTAATTTGGCTATTTATTATCCTGTCTTAACATCCCATAAACGGATAGAGTTATCTTTACTACCAGATGCTAAGAAAGTACCATCAGGAGAGAAATTGACTGACATAACATTACTTGAATGACCATTTAATTAGGCTTTTTATTATCCTGTCTTAACATCCCATAAACGGATAGAGTTATCTTTACTACCAGATGCTAAGAAAGTACCATCAGGAGAGAAATTGACTGACATAACATTACTTGAATGACCATTTAATTAGGCTTTTTATTATCCTGTCTTAACATCCCATAAACGGATAGAGTTATCTTTACTACCAGATGCTAAGAAAGTACCATCAGGAGAGAAATTGACTGACATAACATTACTTGAATGACCATTTAATTAGGCTTTTTATTATCCTGTCTTAACATCCCATAAACGGATAGAGTTATCTTTACTACCAGATGCTAAGAAAGTACCATCAGGAGAGAAATTGACTGACATAACATTACTTGAATGACCATTTAATTAGGCTTTTTATTATCCTGTCTTAACATCCCATAAACGGATAGAGTTATCTTTACTACCAGATGCTAAGAAAGTACCATCAGGAGAGAAATTGACTGACATAACATTACTTGAATGACCATTTAATTAGGCTTTTTATTATCCTGTCTTAACATCCCATAAACGGATAGAGTTATCTTTACTACCAGATGCTAAGAAAGTACCATCAGGAGAGAAATTGACTGACATAACATTACTTGAATGACAATTTAATTTGGCTTTTTATTATCCTGTCTTAACATCCCATACACGGATAGAGTTATCTCTACTACCAGATGCCAATGCAGTACCATCAGGAGAATAGCAAATTGAATAAACCTTTGATAAATGACCATCTAATTTGGCTTTTTATTATCCTGTCTTAACATCCCATAAACGGATAGTGTTATCTTTACTACCAGATGCTAAAGAAGTACCATCACGAGAGAAATTGACTGAATATACAGTTTCTGAATGACCTTCTAGTTTGGCTTTTTATTATCCTGTCTTAACATCCCATAAACGGATAGAGTTATCTTCACTACCAGATGCTAAGAAAGTTCCATCAGGAGAGTAACAAATTGTTCTAACATAATCTGAATGACCATCTGATTTGGGTTTTTATTATCCTGCCTTAACATCCCATAAATTGATAGACTTATCAAAACCGCAAGATGCCAATGTAGTGCCATCAGGAGAGTAACAAACTGAATAAACTGCTGATTGACCATCTAATTTTGCTTTTTATTATCCTGTCTTAACATCCCATAAACGGATAGACTTATCAAAACCGCAAGATGCCAATGTAGTACCATCAGGAGAGAAATTAACTGAGCGTACAATTCCTGAATGACCATCTAATTTGGCTTTTTAATACCCTGTCTTAACATCCCATAAACGGATGGAATATTCAAAACTGCAAGATGCCAATGTAGTACAATCAGGAGAGAATTTGACTGAATATACAGTTCCTGAAATATTATTTAATTTGGCTTTTTAATATCCTGTCTTAACATCCCATAAACGGATGGACTTATCTGAACTACCAGATGCTAATGTGGTACCATCAGAAGAGAAATTGACTGAACATACAGTTTGTGAATGACCATCTAATTTAGCTTTTTATTATCCTGTCTTAACATCCCATAAACGGATAGACTTATCAAAACTGCAAGATGCCAATATTGTACCATCAGGAGAGAAATTGACTGAACAAACATTACATTCATGACCAATTAATTTAGATAATTATTTTCCTGTTTCAAGATTCCATAAATACACAAATTCTCCGCTCTGGAAAGCTAATGTAGTATTATTAACCGAGAAGCATACTGATTTTAGCTCACTCTTTCCCCTGATTATTGACTTTATTTTCCCTGTTCTCACGTTCCACAAACGAATATATTTATCATCACTACAAGAGGCTAATGAGTTGCCATCCTGGGAAAAGCATACCAAATTGACAATTTCACTATGACCATCTAGTTTATCTAATTCATGAATTTAGATATTTTTCCATCTGCAATTAAATAATTAAGCTTAACTCACGTTTATTCCGCTAATATTTACATTGTCAAATTCTGATCCATTGAAATTACATCTTACAAAATTTCCATCAACTAAAGAAGTATCTCTAATCCTTATGTTCTCAAAATTCTATTCTCTCAAATCCACCTTCATTTCGACTAATAAATTGAGTGAATTAGATCCGCATTAGATAAATTTCTCATCAAAGGCTGTCAGATGTGTGAGGAATTTCAAAAATTCAATCATCTATCTCTCCTTACTAATCTTTTTAATCAATTCTTTTCTACTTAATTTCTAATCTTCATTTGTAAAATTCTTTTTATTAAAGTCAAGCCCACTTATCAATTTGAGAATACTAAGGAAGTACTCAGTGTTTTTAATTCCTATCTGTGTTAGCCTTTGATTGTTTAGATTCTTAAATGTATCTGTAATTTTTTCTCTTCTAAACATTTCAATTAAAATAGGGTAGATTGAGATATCAAAGTTCTTAACCTTGGCCAAAGCCTCATACAAATTGTCATTCTACTCAGGTTTGCAATCCATATTTTTTTTATGTCAATTTTTTTTTTATTTTTTATTACCTTATTTTGAGTTTATACTATAAACCCAAAAGTATCTTGTAAATTTTTCTCCAGAATCACTGATAACATTTTCTCTATTTCATACTTAAATCATAAAATTAATAAAAAAAAGCAACTTTTACTAAATAAATACAGTATTTAATAACAAAAAGCTAATGCAAGAATTAAAAAATTCAATCCTAAAGCTACCTGGATCATACCATAATATATTCTTTGTGATTTTATAGGCCTTGAACTTTTATAGTGTAAAAACAGGGAATTTAATTTACATAACTCTCATGTTGGAAAATTAATATTGCTAATGAAATATCTAAAATATACTAAAATAACACTTTTAATAAAGAACTCTGAAAAGATCTTTTGAGAGTATAATTTTAGTGAGTTTTCAAACATAAATATATTTGGAAGGAATTCTATTGTTATATTCCCTACATTCACCTTTTTAATTTTTAATATTAGCTTAATAATTAATTTATATTGCTTACATACAGTGATTCTAAATTCAATACATTTTTGGAATCATTCAAGTATTCTATTCAGTATCTTGAATGTTCATCTTTCTTCTTAAATTTAGAACTATGTCCTTCACAATTGTCTGTTAATTCTATTTTTACCATCTATAAAGTTCATTTACCTTAAAGACATATATCATCCTAATATTTAATTAAATGAATATTGGACATATAAGCTATCCTTAGTCGCTTCATCCAATATCTTTACCATTTGAGTTTTCATTTTCTAGTCAAACTGATTTCATTAGGATTAGCATTCAAGACCATAAAATCAAACCTGAGTTATTTATACAATTCGGTTTCTAACATTCTATTTTCATCAACATAAGAGAGTTAAAGGACTATGGCTTGGGCTTTCAATACCAGTGTTCTTATTACTGAGCTTGATTTATTTGTTCTTTTCTTTTTCAGGATGGGTATGGCTTTCTTCCCAATTATAATTTGTTGTGTCCTCTTCTTTAAATTCTTGCTACCAAATAATAGATCAATTCTTCTTCATAGGATATCTCCTTCCAAATTCCTTTCTTGGCTTCATTCGAATCTCCCATATAATGCTTCATTAGAAAAGGCCGTCAAATGAAGTTAATAGGTTTGGAAAAATCTTTCTCTCATAAATCTCTCTTTGAATTCAAATTTCTCAGCCTTAAGATTTACTGAAATCAAATGGCAACTTCATTGCATGAAGAGTATCATCTATCAGCTTCATACCCAACGACACCCTCAAATAAGTTTGGCTAACTATTCTGGAAAATATCATATTTTGGTAGGTTCAAATCTGCCAATATGAGCATCTCAACCACTAATCTAGTCACCCTTTATTTGATATATTTTCAATTTAATCCTTTAAATCTATTCTTCTTCCCTTTATTCTTCTTAACTCTTAGCTACTTATAACTCTAAAGAGTCTTCACTTTATCTACAGAACCAGATTCAAACTAGTGGCTGGTAATGAGTCTACCTCTGAAATGTTCAGATTCTCGCTTTTCCTTATTACCGATTCCATCTTTCCACTTTTGATTCACTCTGATCTTTTGAAAATTATTTATAAAGAAAATTTCAACTTGTTTTAAATTTGTGGGAACAATTTTTGTCTTAAACCTTCTGTTTACTCAACAAAGGAGAATCAGTTTTATTCTGAAATTGGAAGGATAGATTGAATTGGTTATTTACAATAACTTGTTGATCTAAAATGAATTTTCTGAAATTCTTAATTTAAATTATATAAGTATATATTTCTCCAAAGGTGCCTCTGGAATTGACCTGTCGTCTTCAATAAATTTCAAAAAGATTAAACTTATTAATTCAGATTTTTGAATCGCTAATATTCTAATATTAGAGAATGAGAGTTAAATTCAAACATGGTATCGAACTGATTCGGGAATGTTTTGAATTGATCTAAGAAAATGGAAAATGATAAAAAAAATAGATAATTTCAGAATTATGATTTAAAATTGAAGGTTGTATGAAGATTATTCAAGAAGGCAAACAAAGCCATCAAGAATCAAGAGAATAGAAGCGGATATAGTTTGTTATTAATGAGAGGAATAGTAATTAAACTGATGATATCTGATCATCAAAGAATACATATAAGAAAAGGAAGGGAAAACCTAAAGATGGAGTATTCATGAGTAATAGAAATTTGATTCAGAAATTAAAAATTTCTGATGTGCAATATCCATCAGAATTAATTTATTTTAAACTATTTTTCTACAAGTTACTCTAGTTATTCAAGATTATTGCATAAGCAAAGTCGAAATATCAGATGATTAAAATGTAAATCAATAACTACATAATTGTAATATAATCATCATCATCGTATTTCTCTCCACTTTTAGGTGTGAAAATAAAATAATTGTGGTACATCAAAAAAATTAAAATACATATATATATTAAACACCAATTGAAAATAAAAATTTAACTCATCTCATAATCATAGTCAAATTTTTGTCATCAATTTCAATTATAAGGATGTTTTAGCTTAAATTCTAATAAATTATTTAATCCAGAATACACAAATTGTTGAAGAAATTAGAGTAACAAGATTTTTTTCTAGAATTTCTTAAATACTTTTGTTGTATATCCAATGAACTATGTATTGTTATTTATTAACTTTTTCAATCCCTATGTTTAATATACGATTCTATTTTTCATTAAATTTAAAATGATTGGAAACTTTAATCTTCGCTCTCTTTCAGGATTATGGGTTTCTAATATCGATCAATGAATTCCAGTTTTTTCAGATACAGATCTTTGTTAAATAGATTTTACAATAAAACTATACGGTTAGAAATAAAACCGAATCTAAACTAGAAAAACAAATGCATTAGGCTTATGATTAAAAAAATATTATCGATATTGATATATGTTCTTCGAAATGCATAGAGGAATTTCGAATAATATCATATTAAATATAAATATGCAGATAATTAGACCTTATTTTAGGCAAAGAGGGATGCATCTTTAGTCACTGCATTCCTAAAGGGATAAGATCATTCGCTATGATGTATGGAGAATAATAGGAGAATTCTGTAAGTATATTTGTTGTGTATATGAAATATCTTTCGAAACATGGAACTTCTAACGGAATGACAATTTAGTGCGCTGAATAAGGGAAGTGATTTAACTACTAGCATTGTTGATAAAGAAAATTCTGCAAATGTAGTTATACCTCAATTGCAAATTTATTTAAACACAACTAAATACAATAGAAAATATCAATCAAGCAATTATCTATTAATAGTGAATAAGATTCATGTCTGTCTTTCAAGTTATTTTTTAATCACAAATTAAAATTCGCCTACTAAATTAGATAATAATGAACGAATAACTCTGTGTTTGTGATAATAATAATCGACTTTTTTAAAATAGCTCTCTATTAATGAACACAAGGATTAAAAGTAATTTGATATAAAAAACTGGGGACTGCCTATTCAGAAATGTATAGAATTCTCGCTTTTAATTTCCTTGATAAGTGTCCGAAGTATTATCTGAAGAGGAGGATTAGAAGAGACCTGAGAAGAATAAGGGAAGCAATGATGATGAGAAATATGCTAGTTTGAAAATTGACGAGCTGATTCAAGAGATGACGATTACATATAATGGTATAATTAAGCAATTGTTGTATGATGTTATTCACCTTGCAATTGTGAGACTAATTATGAAGGAGAAATTCATTGATAACAGACAAATAGACTTGATAACAGACAAATAGACGAGGGCCTATACGGCCTGGATATCTGGGGAGCTAACGAGTATATACCATAATTATGCGAACTGGAAATGAAAGAAATTGACAGTGACCTTATCTAGAAGAACTCCTTCAGAAGAGTTTTGGGACTCAATAAGAGTTTTCCTAAGTCATTCATAGTTGGAAGGTTAGAGTTTGACTTAAGTGAAATTAGTATATTCGAAAATAAATCTAGATATCTTTGTTCAAATATCATCTAGATGGCTATTCGCTTGAGGATTTTACGTGGCTTCATAACATGTAACTTTACAATCACTTCCTCTGGACATTGTAGTAAAATGATCACTTGGGGATTTCCAATGGCGAGATCTAATGCTGAGTCAGTTGAGTATTGAATACAAAATAGAAGGCATGAAATTACAGGCATACTTTAAGAAAAGCCATTAATTCTAAAAATTTAAACACAATTGAAATTGTAGAGATAAATGAAGAAAATTAAGAATCAAAGCCTTTGAAAATTTAAAAGGCTAAGATATTATTAAATGAAGGTAAAATGAATTATTTTTAAATAAATAGGGAAAGAATTATTTGAAAAATGTGAATATGAATATGCTTTGAATAAGTTTGAAAATTCAATTAAGTTATTTAATGAGGATGCCGATGTTTATTACTGGAAAGGTAAGTGTTAATCTATATAACCAAAGGTTTTGCATAATCTATTTATTTAATTTATCATATGTAATATAGAGTTATAATAGATATTAAGATGCAATCGAGTGTTATGAAAAAGCTATCTCTATTAACCCTAAATTTGATTTGGCATGGAACAATAAGGGTAATTAACTGTTTAACATATCATTTAGGTTCTGCATTAAACAGTTTAAATAGATATTAGGAGGCAATCAGGTGTTGCGAGAAAGCTATCTCTATTAATCCTAAAATATTTGGGGCACATACAAATAAAGGTAAAATACTTTTAAATATTCTTAGGTTTTGCCTTACAATAATAAAAGAAATATCAGAATGCAGTTGACTGTTATGAGCAAGCTCTCTCTATTTGTAATGATCCTCAAATAAGGCAATTAAAAGTTTGAATTGATAATATAATTCCTTAGCTGATTCCCTAGGAATGTTAGCATTAGGAGAGAAATCCAAAGTTAAGCTACATCAGCATTATTGATAGATTATATAATGAGTTAACCAGCAAACATTTAAGTATTAAAGTTTATCTAAATATCACAAAAATCATAAAAAAAAATATTTACATAGCTTGATTTCTTGTTCGTTATATTTTGAGATTTTATTCAATTCCCTATGAGTTTATCTTTTTTTAGGTTACATATCAAAACATGCATAACCATAGAATTGAATAATTTTAATCTTTCTCTTTATATTTTAAAATACTCATCTGGTTTGATGAGCTCATAATGATTAATAAAGGATTTTTTGTATGTGAATTATTGAACCTGATTGAATAAATTATTTCAATTTCATAAAAAATATTCAAAGCATCTATTTAATTAAAATTAAACCTTAAGTATTGTCCTAGACATATAAATTCTTTTTAATTTCAAATTCATTACAAAATACTAATTTTCAAAAGTATTTATTGATAAAAATAGCTCAGTTAAAATTCTGGAAACTACACTTTCGTTGTTTCCCATAAAAAATCCTAATAATCTTCAATTACATTAAGGCTTAAGTCTTCATTCATGGTAATTAAAGTAGAGATCATTAACCAAGTTATAATTCAAATTGGCGAATAAATATGATCTTACTTTTTCTTTGATTAATCGCTGATTTGAATATAGTCTCCACATTCATCAAGTCATTATTCTGATTCAATTATCGAGCTTTCTCACATCTGTATTTGTATACATATAGTTTATAAAATTCAGTTTGATAGCAGACCTTTTAAATTCATAAGATTTTGAGACAAGTTCCTTCTGAAATGACAAAAAGTTGTGTTATTAAAGGATTATTAGTAATTATTTTGAGAAAAATAAGTGCTGGTCTGGATACAAGCGAATTTGATTTGGAAGGCAAAGCTAAGTAAAACCCCTGCTGATCCCCATAATTTTTTCTATGAGGAAGGAATTTTGCAACTACTTATCTCAAGCCATACTAAGTTTTGGTGTATCCAGTTACTTATCTCTAGGATTTCATTATAAAAGAGACTTTGAAGTTGAAGTGTCAGCAGACATTATTTAATAACTTTTACAGAACAGATTTTTTTAATTTCAAACAAAGTTTATTAGCATCAAATTGTTGTTTTCAACAAGGGAACAACATATTCAAAATGGGGTTTGAAGTTTAAGTTGCAAAGATGAGTAATATTTAAATGAGAGTAATTTCGTTAAGATCTCAAGTTACTAATATTTGTAGACATTTTTAATTTATAAACTTCCTTAGCTCAGTTAAATTTCCTCTGGCTCTGGCAGAAATAAGCACACATGATAATTCACAATATTTTCTTCTATCCATACTTAAATATTCTAAAGAAATTTATCTTTCTCATATGAGATTTACTGATATTTTATAAAAATGGTTTTTCAGCATAATCTTCGAATTATTCCGTTAACCAATGGTTTTGACAACAGATCCCATGGCATCTTCATCTGTGTAAGCAGAGCTATTAGATCCCTTAAACAATGATATTTCAAGATCTTAAATTTATAGTCAAAGTATCTATGAAGAAAGCAATGATTCATAGTATTTTGAAATTGATGAACAAAGAGCATTTAGTTATTTTGATAAAATAATTAAAATTATTCTGAAATTTGCATATAGGAATTTGGAATCCGTAATTTTTATTCAAGAAATTAATCTCTATCTATGTCTAAAAAAAACAAAATGGGTACCTTCAAATGAGTTAACAAAATTTTACATATTAGAANATGAGTTTATCTTTTTTTAGGTTACATATCAAAACATGCATAACCATAGAATTGAATAATTTTAATCTTTCTCTTTATATTTTAAAATACTCATCTGGTTTGATGAGCTCATAATGATTAATAAAGGATTTTTTGTATGTGAATTATTGAACCTGATTGAATAAATTATTTCAATTTCATAAAAAATATTCAAAGCATCTATTTAATTAAAATTAAACCTTAAGTATTGTCCTAGACATATAAATTCTTTTTAATTTCAAATTCATTACAAAATACTAATTTTCAAAAGTATTTATTGATAAAAATAGCTCAGTTAAAATTCTGGAAACTACACTTTCGTTGTTTCCCATAAAAAATCCTAATAATCTTCAATTACATTAAGGCTTAAGTCTTCATTCATGGTAATTAAAGTAGAGATCATTAACCAAGTTATAATTCAAATTGGCGAATAAATATGATCTTACTTTTTCTTTGATTAATCGCTGATTTGAATATAGTCTCCACATTCATCAAGTCATTATTCTGATTCAATTATCGAGCTTTCTCACATCTGTATTTGTATACATATAGTTTATAAAATTCAGTTTGATAGCAGACCTTTTAAATTCATAAGATTTTGAGACAAGTTCCTTCTGAAATGACAAAAAGTTGTGTTATTAAAGGATTATTAGTAATTATTTTGAGAAAAATAAGTGCTGGTCTGGATACAAGCGAATTTGATTTGGAAGGCAAAGCTAAGTAAAACCCCTGCTGATCCCCATAATTTTTTCTATGAGGAAGGAATTTTGCAACTACTTATCTCAAGCCATACTAAGTTTTGGTGTATCCAGTTACTTATCTCTAGGATTTCATTATAAAAGAGACTTTGAAGTTGAAGTGTCAGCAGACATTATTTAATAACTTTTACAGAACAGATTTTTTTAATTTCAAACAAAGTTTATTAGCATCAAATTGTTGTTTTCAACAAGGGAACAACATATTCAAAATGGGGTTTGAAGTTTAAGTTGCAAAGATGAGTAATATTTAAATGAGAGTAATTTCGTTAAGATCTCAAGTTACTAATATTTGTAGACATTTTTAATTTATAAACTTCCTTAGCTCAGTTAAATTTCCTCTGGCTCTGGCAGAAATAAGCACACATGATAATTCACAATATTTTCTTCTATCCATACTTAAATATTCTAAAGAAATTTATCTTTCTCATATGAGATTTACTGATATTTTATAAAAATGGTTTTTCAGCATAATCTTCGAATTATTCCGTTAACCAATGGTTTTGACAACAGATCCCATGGCATCTTCATCTGTGTAAGCAGAGCTATTAGATCCCTTAAACAATGATATTTCAAGATCTTAAATTTATAGTCAAAGTATCTATGAAGAAAGCAATGATTCATAGTATTTTGAAATTGATGAACAAAGAGCATTTAGTTATTTTGATAAAATAATTAAAATTATTCTGAAATTTGCATATAGGAATTTGGAATCCGTAATTTTTATTCAAGAAATTAATCTCTATCTATGTCTAAAAAAAACAAAATGGGTACCTTCAAATGAGTTAACAAAATTTTACATATTAGAACTTAGCTTACATAGGTGAATTTTATTTCAAAAAAAATCATCATTAATTATTATAACAAAAATAGCTTAATGATTATCCTTCCCTAGAATTTAAAAAAACATAATTCTACTTCATTATATTTATTTTTCTTTTTAAAGAATTTCTATTCCTGGTCAAAAGTTCTAATGATGAAGAGTATTTTAGGAATTTAAATATCTTGCTNATGAGTTTATCTTTTTTTAGGTTACATATCAAAACATGCATAACCATAGAATTGAATAATTTTAATCTTTCTCTTTATATTTTAAAATACTCATCTGGTTTGATGAGCTCATAATGATTAATAAAGGATTTTTTGTATGTGAATTATTGAACCTGATTGAATAAATTATTTCAATTTCATAAAAAATATTCAAAGCATCTATTTAATTAAAATTAAACCTTAAGTATTGTCCTAGACATATAAATTCTTTTTAATTTCAAATTCATTACAAAATACTAATTTTCAAAAGTATTTATTGATAAAAATAGCTCAGTTAAAATTCTGGAAACTACACTTTCGTTGTTTCCCATAAAAAATCCTAATAATCTTCAATTACATTAAGGCTTAAGTCTTCATTCATGGTAATTAAAGTAGAGATCATTAACCAAGTTATAATTCAAATTGGCGAATAAATATGATCTTACTTTTTCTTTGATTAATCGCTGATTTGAATATAGTCTCCACATTCATCAAGTCATTATTCTGATTCAATTATCGAGCTTTCTCACATCTGTATTTGTATACATATAGTTTATAAAATTCAGTTTGATAGCAGACCTTTTAAATTCATAAGATTTTGAGACAAGTTCCTTCTGAAATGACAAAAAGTTGTGTTATTAAAGGATTATTAGTAATTATTTTGAGAAAAATAAGTGCTGGTCTGGATACAAGCGAATTTGATTTGGAAGGCAAAGCTAAGTAAAACCCCTGCTGATCCCCATAATTTTTTCTATGAGGAAGGAATTTTGCAACTACTTATCTCAAGCCATACTAAGTTTTGGTGTATCCAGTTACTTATCTCTAGGATTTCATTATAAAAGAGACTTTGAAGTTGAAGTGTCAGCAGACATTATTTAATAACTTTTACAGAACAGATTTTTTTAATTTCAAACAAAGTTTATTAGCATCAAATTGTTGTTTTCAACAAGGGAACAACATATTCAAAATGGGGTTTGAAGTTTAAGTTGCAAAGATGAGTAATATTTAAATGAGAGTAATTTCGTTAAGATCTCAAGTTACTAATATTTGTAGACATTTTTAATTTATAAACTTCCTTAGCTCAGTTAAATTTCCTCTGGCTCTGGCAGAAATAAGCACACATGATAATTCACAATATTTTCTTCTATCCATACTTAAATATTCTAAAGAAATTTATCTTTCTCATATGAGATTTACTGATATTTTATAAAAATGGTTTTTCAGCATAATCTTCGAATTATTCCGTTAACCAATGGTTTTGACAACAGATCCCATGGCATCTTCATCTGTGTAAGCAGAGCTATTAGATCCCTTAAACAATGATATTTCAAGATCTTAAATTTATAGTCAAAGTATCTATGAAGAAAGCAATGATTCATAGTATTTTGAAATTGATGAACAAAGAGCATTTAGTTATTTTGATAAAATAATTAAAATTATTCTGAAATTTGCATATAGGAATTTGGAATCCGTAATTTTTATTCAAGAAATTAATCTCTATCTATGTCTAAAAAAAACAAAATGGGTACCTTCAAATGAGTTAACAAAATTTTACATATTAGAACTTAGCTTACATAGGTGAATTTTATTTCAAAAAAAATCATCATTAATTATTATAACAAAAATAGCTTAATGATTATCCTTCCCTAGAATTTAAAAAAACATAATTCTACTTCATTATATTTATTTTTCTTTTTAAAGAATTTCTATTCCTGGTCAAAAGTTCTAATGATGAAGAGTATTTTAGGAATTTAAATATCTTGCTTTGCTTTCATACTAATATACACAAGAAAAATAAATCCACAGGAATCAAAAACGAAATAGCCAACTATTAGCCAAATTCTGTTGATAAGTATTTTAATAATCAGTATTAATGGAACCAAAAAAAACATTTTTATAAATTGCTAAATATATATAATCAATTGTATATTGAGTTGGTTATGAAAAACTTCTCTTTAAAGAGGCGAAATCTTTACTTTTAGAGCGACTTTAGAATTATTTATTATGATTTTTTGATCCATCACAAAATCATTTTCTATCATTAGAAATGAACAATAATCTTTTATTTTTTTTTTGTATAAAACCGGTTGTATCTTAAATATCTTAAAGTTTAGAGTTGTCTCAAAATGAAATTGGTTAAAATAATATAAAAATTTTAGATCATTAATGGGAGAAATTATTTAATTGAATTTTGGAGATATCGGAAATAATGTTGGACACTAATATTTGGAAAAATTGATAGATGATCATTATTTAGATGATAAGAACATCTCGAAGAAGGATTAACATAGACAAAAACTTCATGTGTCATTCGAAGAGTTAAGGAATAATTAATACTAGTTTAGAGGAATATTTGATAATTCAAGCGATTGTAATATAACAAATTCTATTATAGAATCCATCAATAAACTATTAACATCTCCTGAATGTGAATACATCAATAATGACTTATTATTGTAGAATAAAAATAGAAATAAATCCGGTACTTTTTCAAACAGCTAAATAAACTTTAAAGATTAAGTTCAAGATGAACTGTTTGAAAAATTGACTCATCAAATTGAGAGATGTGATAACATTTCTGGATGTCATTTTGTACATTCTACTTTTGACAATTCATCAGGTTCATCTGCATCGGCAATATCTGGATATAGGGATAGATATTTCGATAAATTTTGCAGTACTTTTTCGATCCTTCCAAACATTGAAATTACCAATACGATTGAAATTTATAATACTGCTTTTTCATTACATAAATTAATTGAGATGTGCGAAGTGGTTATGATATTTGATTAAAGAGCTTTGGAAAATTAGTTGATAAAATTAAGATAATAATGCACTTTTGAAAATTGCAATAACGTTATAGCTGAATGTTTATTATAAGTGAATTGCTCTTAACGTTTTCCTGGATATTAAAATGGAGACTTAAGAAAACTGTCTACTAATCTAATTCCTTTTCCTCGTTTGCATTTCTTAACGTGTGCCTTTTCAATAATTGATATTAGCTCAGATTTAAATGACTAATTAAGCAATTTAAGTCTCCCCAATAATACTTATTTCTCCTTTCGAGATGCTACCAGAAATTTGTACTTTGCTCAAGCATTGATTACAAGATGCAATTCTTGTAATTTAGATTTTTAATAAGCTTCGTCAACATTTTCAAATAAAATAGAATGGATAGCTGATGCTTTATTTCATATAAATTGTAAGATTGAGAATAGAAACCTAGGAACAACAGTTATGCATGTTGGGAATCATAGAGATTTGGGGCATAGCTTCAAAATACATAGCGAGATATTTACTGCGAATTTTAGAAGAAAAGCTTTCTTACATTATTATTTATAGGATGGAATGGATGAAATGGAATTCACTGAGGCTGAGTCAAATCTCAATGATTTTGTCTCTGAATATTTTGAATGTTGTTGTGGAATATCGGAATACGATGAAGAGGAGTAAGATTACGAATAGGATTTATGAGAATAATAATAAATTATTAATAATACCATAAATAAAGCCATTTTAAGGTATTTCTAGAGAAAAATAAGGTGTCAACTAAAATAAAAATTTAGTTTTTGAAAAACTGCTGAATTTTGGTCTGTGTTTACCCAATAATTAGTTCATAGAATTTGTGAAAATAATAAAGGAATATATCAAAAAAATAAACAGGATCTCTATCAAGAATAAGTCTGCCCTTTATTCTTTTTTTATTAAATAAATTTGTATTAATAGCAATATTATTTGATGTACTTATACACTAGTAATCATATAGTTGATAAATCATAATATTATTATTAAGGCTAAGGCTTATTTCATAGCTTAAATTGATTAGCTTTAATCAATACTATTTTTAATTCATCTCTTTCTTTTAAATTGCATCAAAATGTTAAAGGAAATTTCTTTATTTTTCACTTCGTCTAATTTAACAATTTATCAAAAAAAAGAAACTTTTTTTACAACTTAATTTCCAGTTATCAAATATTTAATCAAGAGAATTTCCGATTTAATGAATGTATACTAAATCCCAATAACAAAACTACCTTAATTTCTGGCATTATTTTTTTCGTGCCCTCTTTCATTTCAATTTATTATATACATTCTTGTAAACCCTTAAAACAAAAAATTATTTTTTAATCAAAACAAACAGAAATTCTGTTAAAATGAAAATTGTTACCCAAAATGCCTCAAAAGTCTTAGATAAAGCGTAATATTTGAAGTTAAAAATGAATTGAATCTAAATTTGGTTTTATAAACTTTTATTATAATTGCTATTCTCCTTCAATTAACTATCATAAATGATTTTTTTAATAATCTTATATTAGTTTTATATAATTAACAAGCAGATTTTATTTGGAAAATGGAGTATGATAAATAATATTTAAAGGGTTATATAAACATCTTGAAATTCTTAATAAAAGAGAACTCTCCCTTCATTATTTGAAAATTTAACACTAACAATTTTAATTAAATAAAACCTGTTTCTTGTATAAAACTAAAAGAAAGTTTAATTTTTCAATGAAAATTTAATAGTTGCTTTTTTGAATTCCCTGCTTGTGAAAAAATGAAAATCAGTTGTATTTTTAAAATTATTAATCTACTAAACTTTTAAATGAAAACAATACTAAAAGGATTAAATGAATTAATCAATTTTATTAATAATAATAATAAGTTATGCGATAGTCTAGATGAATCGAAAGTTAATAAGATGATTTTGTTTTGGACTCATGCTTCAAATTAAAGAATTAAATTACACACAATATCAAATCTTGAAGGAAAGTGTGCTGCTGAAGATATATATTCCAATTAACTGAATTAAACCATTCTTAAAAGATTTATCTTACCGATTATGAAATGTAAATTTCAAAAATTATAATTGATTTATGTGT